CAGCTTCACCATTAACATGTCTGTTTCCTGTCAGCCCACTCAGAGATAATGTCATTTATCTCAGGGAGGCACAAGCCCAGTTATTAGCTTCTATAAAAGACCTCAAACAAAGACCGGATAATGTTTTACCCAGGGCTCTTAGGAAAAACCAGAACCAAAAAGCCTCCCATCTAAAAATCAAGGACTCAGAAGTTAGCATCCTTAAAAGAATAGATCCCTGGTTACCAGCAATCCTAGACTACAGCTCTTAGGGAGCCGAAGGTCTCCATAGGGTAAACACAGGTCCCCTGCCCTATCACCTACAATTAGATTAACCGATAAATGCCAAGCAGAGCTGGCCTGGGAGAGCCTTTCTCCCGTGTCTCCAGGGAGCAAATTGACAGAATAATGCAGGTGCTGACGCAACAGCCAGATCTTTGAAGAACTGACCTCTCCTTGTGATTGCCTGCAGGAACTGAATAACCATTAGAAAGTGTTCTATGGCTGGGCTTCTGGAAATCTTTTAAATAAAAGTGGAACTGGTTAGAATAAATGTAGAAACATGTGTTTTCACAGTGTTGCTCATATTACTGCAATTTCAAGTCTCTATGAAGTACCAGGTGAACTTTTTTTAAATTAAAAAAAAAAAAACAGACACAGTCAAAATTGGAGCAAATCTCAACCATTCATTCCTTGTTTTTCATGCTGAAAACGAAGAACAGATGGCACTTTCCATGTTGTTTGAATCTGGTTATTGAACACCTCTGTGGTTAGGGAGATTTCTGCTTAGCACTTTCGGCATACATTTCATTTACTAACTATAAAACGCTGCTTAGGAAAAATAAGTCTTTATAACACTCTAATTAAAACCATCTTTCAGCCGAGCAATTTCACTTGAAGAGCATTCTTAACCTTGTGACATCTGGACAATCAATTCCTTTCCCTCCCTCCCCCCTCCCCCCACCCAAACACATACCTTTTTTACAGACTATTTGCAAAGTTATTAAAAGTTGCTAAGCATTATTTATCTCCTTTTGGCACAAACTTGATCAGTGAGAGGATTTTTTTTAAATCTCTCCAGCAAACCCAGCAGATTTCAAATGCTATGCTCAGAACTCAGCGATATGCCCAAGTCATACCAATTCTCCAGCTGCATGGTTCTCACACAAGACTTCCTTGGGGAAAGGGCAGCCCCTCTGCACCCACCGCCAAAGCCCTGTCACCCTCCGGGGAAGCCCTCAGAAAAGCAAGGAGCTGGGTCCATGCTGACTGGGAGCCACCCTTAGTTACCAATGTTTTTAACAGCTAACTCCCTTGTGTAGCTTTCAAAACAGTTTGCTGTCTTACAACAATGGACTTTGTCCTTTAATTATAGCAAGTGACCTTTCTGCCCTTTTATTTCACAGTAGATAAACTGCACTCTCTACGCAGAATTTGTAGGGGGCACTGTATATGGGGGAAGAAACATATCATCCACAAAACTCATTAATCAAAACATGTTCTTAAACTGCTCACACTCACTTAGAAAATGTGCCAGAAATCCCCAGTGAAGTGTTAAAAGGCCTCTGCAAGAGAATAAAATACAATGAGTGATCCCCTTTACAGACAGGGCCATTTGTAGACACCACCTTCAGGCTGTTCAGGACCAGCTTCGTGAAAGCTGTGTGATATTAGAGAATGAATCTCCTTTCTGAGTGTGTACTGAGTAGTCAGAACCCTAAGGCACAATCTTAAGATCTCCTTTGCATTTCATGTCTATTTAAGTGATCAGCTGTTTTTAAGAAATCGGCTGTGTATTTGTGAATTTCCCAGCGATGAAATAAAACCATGTAACACCAACCATTTAGCCCAGCTGAAGGCCTGTGTCTGATAAGTCCCAACTGCTAAGACAGCTAAGGAGGATAGAGGCAGAAGTGTCTCAACACAGGCTATTATGCTTCAAAAGAAAGGCGGGGGAAGGTGGAGAAGCAGGTTTTAGCAACCAAAAGCCAACCCGTCAAATCTACTTATTCAGACATGTCACTGGTGGCTTAACCACAAAATGGGCTATAGAAATAGAGCTCAAACATCTTAGAATTATGGCATGTTTTGATTTTGTTCACGTATTAAGGGAGTGGCGACTTTTACAACATACTTGTGGTTTCCACATAAAGGAGTAGAACACTCATTGATTTAATTAGATTTCATAAAGTCCAATTTATCATGTTTTACATGACTCTGGGTAGTGAAGAAACAGAATAAACACACCAAAAATAGACATTTAAACATGCTGTGAAATTAACCGGTGACAGCCAGTCTTATGAATCTCCTGTGAACCAGGAACACACACACACACACACACACACACACACACACACACCCTACACCCCTTCGGTTTTCACATTTGGCCCATCCTGAGCCATATCTGATTGCTGAAAATTAACCATCTCTGCTTTTGAGGCACTTTCTCTTCACAAACCCAGATAATCAAGCAAGATTGAAATTAAAATATACCAAATGTAAAAAAACAAACAAACAAAAAAAAAACACCCATCTCAAAGATGCCTCAGCATTGAAATACTTTTGTCAGGTGACACTTGTCCTACTAAATCTTTTCTTCCTAGATAGGTATCCTCCTAACTTTAGAAAGTACTTTCTAAATTGAAGACTGATTTACACAATCACAAGTCAGTGGAATTAGCAGTTAGTTCCCTGGGTGGCATCCGTACAGGGAGTGACATATCTGTGTGCCAAGGATGAGAGCATGCTTCAGAGCAGCTTTTCTAGGGTGGGGTGGGATGGGGTAGGGAGGGAAGCCTGATGGAACAGTGTCCCTGAGCCAACACCCCAGCTTGACAGAGAGTGGCCCACACTTGGGACTCCTGCCCTTACGAGCCATCCCTGAAGTGGCCCTGTGCGCCAACACCAGTGGCTTAGTTGGCAGTGGAGTGAGTCTAAATGCACTGAGCCCTCTCCCCTCCTCCACCCCAGGCCCCATCATGACTTGTTTGCTCTTCACTTATGTAATTCACATGATCACATTTATACTGTTCTGTCGGAAGATGAGTTACATGGATATGAATAATTTAATTCTTCCATTCTTCGTCCAGTTTCCCTCTGTGGCTGGAAAGTGAAAAGAACACAAAAACTGGAGAAGCGACCCCACGCTCTAATCTCAGTTGCCATGACAGCAGCCTTTGAGATACTGAAATGTTCCGATTGCCAGCTAAACAAAATTGTTGAATGTGAACATTTGGCTGGAAGATTAAAAGGCTAAGGGGAATGCAAAAGGGCAGTACCTCCCACATTCCACGCAGCAGTGAATCCAATCAAATGGCTCTGACTCCTTAACCACAGCCATTGTGAGCACTGGATTAGGGCAATTCATCTAGATAGTTAGAGCAGATTAGAACTGCAATTTGAAGACTATTGGCAACAAAAGTAAATGCCCTACTGTACTAAGTAATAAGAAGATTTCAGAACGCCTTTTAGCAGAAATTATGCAAAACTACACATTTAAATTTAAGAATTAAAACCTGAGTTGTTTTTTTTTTTTTTTTTTAAATACCATTGAAATTCATCAACATAAAATGCTGTCTGATCAAGAGGGCATGAATTTAAAAAAAAAAAAGTTCAGAGGATTTTTGTGATTTGGGCATTATCTGCACCTTCATCAACTTCTAAAATCATCAAATCAAAACTTTATTCCTGTACTCTAACTTAAATCTGGAACACACGGACACAGACATACAAAGGTTTAAGTAGACAGCAGCAAATAATTGTACACAAAAACAATTATCCAAAGACATCTTATAATGCTAGCAAATAAGAAATAGCAAAAATCAAATTATTTAATAAGCATATTTCCAAACAACCAGGCCACAAATCACATAAGAATTTTGCTTCTGCAAGGCACAACCTGTAGAATTAATCTCAAGATTAGTTGCATAGAAACATCACTCACACCCCCAGCTCACTCCCAACCTGCCCAGTGGACAGAGCACCTACAGTCCTGAGACATTACTCAATGCACAACAATCACCAGACCAGTAAGTCACAGGCCTCCGGCGGCACCAAGCAGCAGAGCATGGGGCAGTTTCTCAAAAGCGGTGTCTAACTAGACTTAAAGGCAATGCCAAAGATGGGCCGGAGGGTCCATACTGCCTAAGTCCAGGATTCTGACTGCTCAGATGCAACCCATAATTCTAGGATCCTTTGGCTATGTTAGCACATTTCAGGAACACCAACCAGTCTTACCAAACCTATTTCACTTTTCTTCAAACCAACCTTCCAGCTCCCTAGTCAAACCACAAATCTTAAATCTCCAGCCGAAAATTGGGCGAGAGAAGAAGGGTAGAGTCCTACCTAGCGACGACCAAAGCTATCTCAGTCTTTCTACACAGTTATGAAACCAATGACCCAAGGACATCAAGGTTGGCGTTTAATTCAGGACCAATAAAAGCAACCCATCTGAGGATGAGATCCTTTGACTTTCTGGTCAAAGTAACGAACGAAAAAAAATAATAAATGGATTATGGGTGGAGTGTAAATTAGCATCCTTGACATACCTCTCCAGGGAGGGACCATGAACCCTGCACCTAAGGACACATTACCAGAAATACCGGGACATGTAAATTAAAACAGAACACGGCTCTCCTTAGGGGAGAAACCAGGACAAGAGTCAAGTGGGTACATGCACAGGTTTTCTATTAAAAGCACACCACGCCTGGCTGGCTGGCCGGGAGGCATCTGCAGAGCAAAAGGTACTCAGAACACCCAGCCCTCCCACCAAGCACTAGCACCGCAAGCAGCATCAGCAGCAGCAGCTGAAGAAGCAAGAGCTAAACACTGCACCCACCTAAGCTCCCCCACACCACACTGTGAGGGAGAGGATGCACGGGCTAGGAATCTCACAAGGAACCAAAAGCACCAGGAAGAAGTGCAAGGCACACAGCCAGCGACACACCCCTCACACACACACACCCCCACACAGAGGCACACACAGAGGACAAGTGGGTCTTAGGAAGGCGACTTCATCCTACCTTCTCCGTTTTCAGTTTCTTGATTCGCCTGTGGTTCTCCTCCTCCTCCTCTTCCTTCTTTACCAACACACAGTTTCCCACGAGCCCGGAATCCGGGGCGCTTTTGCTAACTTCCCCTGCAGCCGCGCCGCCGCCACTCCCAGCGCCCCCGCAGTTGAAGGGGCTCGCGCCGCCTCCATTGCTCTTGGCCCCAAAGCCATAGAGGTGCCCCCCGGCGGGGGCCTGGCCGCCGCTGCCATTCTGGTGGCCCTGAAGCAGGTCGTGCTTGTCCTTCCTGGATTTCCCCGCATCCTTATCCCGCTTGGCGCCTCGGCTGCTCTGGCTTTTACCTGCTTTCTCCTCTTTGCCTTTCCCGCAGGAGGCCGCCCCCGCCGTGACAGCGGAGGGGCCGGGGCCGGTGCCGTTGCTGTTTGGGTTGCAGCCGCCGCCGCCGCCACCGCCGCTCACACTTTGACCCAGCGCTGAATTCATGCCAGTTGCCTCTCCAGGGCGCCCTTGGACTTCCTGCCTCTTGCCAGTGCCGCTGATCTCGGGAATCCCATACAAGGCAGCAGAAGGCAGAGATTTATTAGCATCCTTAGAAGTTTTACTCCTTTTCACTTTTGATTTGCCGGCCTCTTTGTGTGCATTCCCCTGGGGAGCAGAGGGCTGAACAGAAGCAAATTTTAGGCCATCAGCTAAGGCTGCAGTAGCCCCGGCCCCACCGGAGGCCAGACCGCCACAGTCCTTCGGGTTGCTGCTGCTGGTGGTGGTGGTGGTGGAATTATTCATCTCAAATTTCTGTCTGTCCTTCTCCAAATCAGCGTCCAGATCGATGATTAGATTTCCAACCCCGATTTCCCAATCATCACCACTGTCATAAGTATCAACCGTATTTGGATCCACACCTTTTCCTGCAGTAGAAATGTTCACTGACATCCTGAAGACGAGCTCCTTCGAATAAAAATCCGATGAACTTTCCTTTGGAGATGAGGGGACATTCGTTTAGCTCCGCTGGGCTTTCTCTTAGGGGAAAAAAAAAACAACCAACAAATCTTCTAATCTTCCTCTTCTTTTTCCTGCCCCAGGAATGTGTCCAGGGATTTTACACCCTTCAGTCCAGGTCCACCTTTTCCTGTGAAGGGGGGAAAAGTCGAATATTTCTTGTCTGGGTGTTACCAGAATAAAGAAGGATTAACACGGGGGGGAGTCGGTAAGGGGTACAGGGAAGGATAGAGAGTCAAGTGGTTCATGTATTGTCTCCACAGTCCAATATCAGGTATAAAGGAAAATAACCAAACCCCCAAAACATACCAATAACAGTAAGCATCTCACAGTAGCTAAAAAGGAAAGTCCCTTTAGCAACAACACAAACATAATCACTTTTTAAAAGGCATTAAAATATCTTAAGAATCTGAGTCAATTCCAGGTTAAAAAAAAAAAAAAAAGGAAAGAGCTGAAGATTTTTTTCTAGCACAAACAAGTGATCTCAACCCCAGACACACAGCTTGAACACTCAGACAAGAGGGAGGAACACGGCTTTAAACATCCCTAAACATGTCCTAGATCTTGCAATTTAAAAGGCCAGACCCTGGAAGTTCTCTGAGGTTAGTTTCAGAATGATGTTGCTCTATTTTCCTTATTTCTAATTTTATTCCTTCTTTTTTACAAACTGGGCATTCTGGTTTTTGTTCCCAGTAAGGAACAGAAAAAAACAACAACACAACAACCAATAACCCCCTCGCCTCCATACACAGCCCCTCCACTCCTATCCTTTCTTCCCCAACAATTTATACAATTTTATTTTTGAAATACACACAGTGTGTCTTTAAGAACATTTCTCTATAGAAAAGACAGTGTTAAATAAAAAGTGAAGTATCTGCCTTTCAATTAAAAAAAATACATCTAAACAATTCTATCACAGTCCCAAGTCACAGACTCGCTCAATCTGTTAAATATGGTGCCGCTGACTGTACAGGGAAACTGATTAAGACATACACTTTAAATGATCTGCGCCAAGGTGGCCTCAATGACCGCAAATGAGTGTGTGTTTGACAAAGATCAGTTAAAACGGTTTTTAAAGGGATCAGCCCCTTTTTAACAGTTGATTGTCAAGAAAAAAAAATAAATATACATACACACACAGACATTGCTTACCTTTAATCCTTTATCATTTTTTAATTAGGCCAGCAAATCAAAATGCCTTTCCCACTCCACTCCGCAAACAAGCTTGTGCCTCATTTTACTTAAACACCAAATGATCAAGAAGGAAGAAACCAAACAACACATCTCAGCCAGAATAATCACTGGATAACATTATTCCACCTCCCCACCCCCCTTTTGGCAAACGGATCAGGAGTCCTTTTCTCCTTAAAAAAAAAAAAAAAAAAAAAAAAAAAAAAAAAAAAGTGTCACTGTACAGCTGGAAGATAATGTTTCACATTCATAACAGAAGCACCAAAGGTTTTTTTTTCCTCTTAACAAGCATCGAGAATTGCTTTTATATATATATATATATAAAAAAGAGAAAGTTTAGAGAAAAAAGTTTTCCCAACTTCTCATTCCGCCTTCAGTCCCAGACTTCAGAGTCACCGTGATCAGTAAGTAATGATCCGATGTAGCAAACCTACAGGCGTCCGCTAGTAACAAGACAGAATGTGCTAACATCGGGATAAATTAGTGAAAGGGAAGAAAGAAGAAGAAGAAAGGACTGAAAATCTGGGCTGGATTCAGCCTGTTAGTCGGGAAGTGGCATTTTTCCGCCCGTCCTGACAGATTTGATTTCTTGAACTAACTTAAGAGGAAAGGAGGGGGAAGCAGAGGGGGGCGGGAGGAGGAAGAAAGGATGGGGGGAGAAGCGCAGCCGGAGGAGAGAAAGGGAGGTGTGGAGGGGGAGGGGAGCAGGGGTGCAGCGAGCTGATGAGCCGGTTAGAACAGCTCGCTCCGGGCGGGGGGCGTTGGGGTGGGGAAGGGAAAATAACGGCGTTGAAAATTGGTTCAGCCTTCGAAACCTAAAGGATGTGATGTTTTCCTGTTTTATGTTGTTTTAAGAAAAAGGAACCGAGTTCCTAGTACAGTCCCCGCGGAGGGGAAAAATCCGCTGTCGCTCAAGCCCATCAGTCAGGCGGTAATTTGATAATGAGAGTTAAAAAAAAAAAAAGATTTTTTTTTAAAGCGACCTTCTCCAGGACAGGTTTCCCCATGTATAGTCCCAGCAACCGGTGCGTCTCCCTTATTTATGTTCCTCTTCTCCTCCTCCCTCGCCCACCCCCTCCTGTGTGTAGTCAGATGGCCCGGGAGCTCGGCTTAGTATTTTTAATTAGCTGGCGTTTGGAAGCTAAAAGCAGTAATGAATTGTTGATGGATTGGAAGTGGAGAGTCGCTTTGCTGGAAATGTCGGGGCTGGGAGGGGGGGAGGGGAGGATGGGCGAGTTAGCAACAACCAACCATCTAAAAGGAGCGATTTTGTTACAGTGCAAGCCTTTCACATCACGTGAGGATCAAGGGCTCAATTGGTTGTCGTGAGAACAAAAATGGTGACAAGCGTATCAAGAAAATACTGATCTGGTCTTTAAAAAAAAAAAAAAAAAAAAAAAAAGCTGAAGGTCTCTCCCCTCCCTCCCTCCCCCTGCACACCCTCCCCGCCGCCGCCGCCCGCCCCCTGCAGCGGGCGCAGCCACAAGTTATGAATGTGAAACATTTCTCGCCGATCTAGGCTCTCGGAAGTTCGGGAGGAGTGAAACGTAATGAGCACGAGAGCAAAGCAGATGTTTTAAAGAAACACCTTATAAACCTTTCCTCAACTTATCTCCAATTTGTAGGCTTTCCCCAGGGGCCAGGGATAGGGACGCCCGGGCAAGGGAGGGAGGCGCCTCTAAGCCACTTCGATTTTAGGGACACCCCCCCCTCCTGTCTTAAACAAAGAAAAATATTTTGCTAGGTCCTGTAATAAACACACCATTGTTACTATTTGTGGGTTTGTTTGGGTTGGATGGGGCTTTTTTTCTTTTTCTTTTTCTTTCCCTTAATGGTGTTTTGCTGCTTGCTTTTTTTTTTTTTTAAGGAGGTGGAAAACGGTCATTATAACCATTACACGGAACGGGTGACTCTGCCCTTGTTGAATATTAAATTATTGGGCACTAGATGTGACAGGAGGCTGAAATCGCCTTGTTTTGCCCTTGCCCCCATTTTCCTGGCTCGGTTTGGAAGGTCTTGTCCAGCCAGGCTAGGAGAGAGAGGAGTAGGGGGTGAGTCCCGGAATGGACATTGCAGATCAGGATATGTAACTGTGTCACTTTTATTCCCCTTGGGTTAGAGCCCCAAAGGTAATTTACTCTTAAGTTACCCCGAGTGCCCAGTCAAGCCTAATTTGTGTGAAGAAGTTACAAATGCTTCACCCTCCACTGGCTAAAATTCACCCTTCTTGGGTTGTTGTTTCTCAATGCAAAAACCAAGCCCTGGAACTAGTTCCTCATTTCAATGCATACAACTCGAACATTCCCCTGCATGAAGTCCCCGCTAAGTGCTATAGAGACACACCACGCAACCGTACTTACGGTCTGTATTGGATCGAGTTGACCTTTTCCTTCTAACTGCATTGAGTGTGTTTGGTGGCAGCCGCTTTATTTTGGAAATTATAATCTCTTCAACCAATGTATTATTAAAGAAGATGGACCATCAAATGTCACAGCCTGTCCTGTGTATTTTTTTTTTATAAAAGCAAAAAAAAAAAATGAAAAGAAGGAAAAAAAAAAAAAAAAAGAAAGCGAAAATCCCCCTGGCGCACACACGCACAAGCTTGTTCTGCAAAACTGAAATCAGGACTGAAACACAACACACTCAGGGGGAGTGGAGCGAAAGCAGCTCTCAGCCTCTGTACCTGAAAGGGACTTTTCTTTGTTCCCATTGCCCTTTCGCAGCGGGCCAATCAGAGAGCAGCTTTTATGAAACCGGGCGCTCTCATTGGCCGGCTGCTTTCTCTGGGCTACTGCGGGGGGCTGAGAAATACACACGCAGAAAACACACACTGGGCGCGGGTGGGGGTGCGGCGGGGGGTGGCGGTGGAGACAAAGCGTTTTATTTCCCAACCAGATTGGGGGAGAGGAGCCTCCTGCAGTAAGAATGGGGGTGGAAAATGGTGCGCCCGTTTCAATGACGACATCGTTCACCTAAAACACTTACTAAAACAACTCTCCAGCAGGCTGCGCGGGGCGGGTGTCGGTAAATACGGGTCTGATGGTGTTATCTTGTGGGAAATAATGTCTGTGATCTCCCGGCGGCGGAGGACGGCGCGGAGCCCGAGGAGCGGGAGGCCGGCCGTGCGGAGCGGGCTGCGGGCGTCCTGCCGGCTCCCCTACCTCGTAGCGAGGGCTCGGCGGCGCGAACTCCCGGACTGATTTTCTGTACAGCGGCTTCTGGCTTTCAACCCTCCCCAACCGCTTTGCCCTTCTTCCATTTTCCCCACCCCCGCTCTGTCTCTCTTTTTACTCGCTGATTAAATAAGAAAAATCGATCTGGGGGTAAAGGCGGTGGTGGGGAAACAAGTAACCCTTTTGTTCCCAGTCTTCTGGTCCAGCAGCTCTGAAGTGCGAGCGCTGGCAACCATTTAGCCAACACTAAGTGAATGGTGCTTCCCTGGAATTAGTCAATCTTTCCCACCTGGCTCTGCTGGCTCCAAAAAAATAAAAATAAAAAATAAAATGCAAAATAAAATAGGTCCCAGCCAACCACATTCACTTTTTTTTTTTTTTTAATCTATCTGTGGGAGATGAAATATACTGGGAAGATTAACCCATTAAACAGTGCCAGTCAGCATTTTTAAACCCACAGAGTGTCAGAGTTCCCTTTCCCCCCTGGGAGGGGGGAGGGTGCCAAAGTCCCCTGACAGCTATAGAGGACAGCCCATCAAGAATGCAGAAATATTTTAGGATGGATTGTGG